TTTCTGATCATCGATGGCTGAAGAGTGGTTTCCTGTTTTCGGACATTCCTTCCAGGTGAAAGACAGATCATCAGATTGCTTTTATAACCTCTCAGACACTATGTTCGTGACGGAGGCTTTGGAAGAAATCTTTAGATATGCAAGCAACTATTATCTTTTTCTCGAGGTCAAGAAAGTTGTGAAGAAGGGAGAGAATCTTCAGCTCCATCGTCTTCAGTTCTTCCGAATTCCACCAGGTACAGTTTTTGATTTGGAGATTTTGGATTTATGTTTAAAATAGCTTTGGAATTAGTTATGCAAGTAGATGGTAATGGTAACAACACAACCTCATTGGAACTGGAGCACGTTTAAGTGATTTGTAGTAAGAGAAGAGATTATAATGCATTGCAAATCCTTTGGTTGATTGAAGTTGATGTATATGTTTAATCGAAAGCGCGAGGCATAAATCATGTTTCTTGATTCGTCAGCACAGGAATACCCATTTGATCGATTTCTTGCTGGAGAATCTGTGACATGAACGTACACAATTTTCTAATCTTAGGGCTATATTATTTTCGGGTTTGTTCTCATCGATCGGATTAGATGGGTTGTCCTCTAATGGTGTACGTTCCGTTGTAAGTTGCGATAAAGATGGCGGCAAAGGCAGCTCTCCGTCTCGTGGGGTTCGAGCCGTGGTCCACTCCTTACTGGCCTCACTCTCTCGTGGCTGCAGCCATTTCTGATTTGCCCGAAAGCGTTTTGGAGTGTCAAGAGGTCCTTCAGATTCGGAAGAAAGTGTGTTTGTGTTTTTTTTTCCTGCAAGTTTCTCTTTTCTTATCAAAGACTCGAATGTCAATCGGTTTAACCAAAAAAAAAACTCGAATGTCAATCGGTTTAGTTCGGTTCAGTTTAGTGTTGGTTTTATTCCATACGGTATCAAATAACAAACAAAAATCAAATTTTAATATTTCACATATAAATTTTTTCTTATAATCCGAAAGTTTAATATGCCTTTGACCTAATTTAGAAAGATTCTAAGAACTTGGGTTACAAAAGAAATGCGGTGAAAATATAATATATGCTTTATCTGAAATTATTATTTTTTACTCCGTGAACAGCCGTGATATATATTGTTAAAATCATGATATGCACCTCTTATTTTAACGTGAAATTTGATGGAAATTGTTGCAACCTAACCAAACCAACGGTCCATATGAAAACGATAAAACGGTCAAGCCTGATACGCCAAAACGCTGCCGTTTCAACTCGGGTGGACTTTGAAGGGTGTTTTGGTCTTTTCGGTGAGAGTTTGTTTCGCGCCATGCTCGTATATATGTACGAGTTAGTTTCATTTCTCCCTCACCTCCTTCTTTCTTCCTTCTCGTTCTTGCCGCCGGCGAGTTTGACGATCGTCTTCTCCGGCAAGCTTCTGGAGATTTAACGATTCATACTCTTCTCCAGACGTATCTGTTTAAGCCGAGAGAGAGAGAGAGACCACCCACAGGCTGGATGGCTCCCAAAACCGTGGTGTTCATCGAGACGAACCTCGGCACATACCTCGTCACGTTCTTCCGCATCCGCGAGACCGTCTTCAGTTTTAAGAGTGAAGTTCTTTTTCTTTGACTCCATGATTGAGGACTTCTCGTGCTTTCAATGCTTTTTCCGATCTGTTTGATTGTCGTGAAAAGAAAAATCGATCGGTGACGAGAGTTTCGCTTAGTTACAGATAGATTGGTCAAGGAGCACCAGCTTTGCTTTCCAGATGTTGGAGAAATTGAAATTTCTGCTCTCAAAGTATGTCTTTCGCTGAATCTATTTCATGATCCTTTTTTCTGATCATCGATGGCTGAAGAGTCGTTTTCCTTCCAGGTGAAACACGGAGGTCGCTCTTATCACCTCTCGGACACTGTGTTCCTGATGAAGGCTTTGGAAGAGGTCCGCCCTTGGGGAGGCAGCCATTCTGCTTTTCTCGAGATCAAGAGAGTTGTGAAGAAGGGGAACGAGAATCTTCAGTCCTTCTCAATCCCACCAGGTACAGTTTCTTGATAATGGTGACAACATAACTTCAAAGGGACTGGACCTTGAATTGCAAATCTTTAGGCTAATTGGTACAAGCTGATGTATGTGTTTAATCGAAAGCATGAGGCCATAAATCATGTTTCTTGAATCGTCATCAGCAGAATACCCATTTGATTGATTTCTTGTTGAAGAATCTGTGAAATGAACATACCCAATTTTCCAATTTTAGGGTTTACTCTCATCGGATTGGATGGGTTGTACTCTGATGGTGCAGGTGACAAAGATGGCGCCGATAAGCCGAGCTTCGTTCATGGCGGCAAAGGCAGCTCTCCGTTTCGTAGGGTTCGAGCCACGGTCTCCTTACTGGCCTCACTCCCTCGTGGCTGCAGCCACTTCTGAATTGCCCGAAAGCGTTTTCGAGTGCGAAGAGATTTTTTTTTCCCCTGCAAGTTTTTGTTTTCCTACCAAAGACTCAAATGTCAATCGGTTTAGTTCGGTTTAGATTCAGTGTTGGTATCGAGTGACAAACAAAAATCGAAATTTGATATTCGCACGTA